GCTGGCCTGAGTTACGGACGCCTTTTCAAACTCAGGCCCTGACACAGTCGCCGAGGCCTGTTTTTCGTGCCCTTAGGAACTCAAAACATGCCGCGTCCGCCGTTGTTTCTTTTTTTTATTTTTTATTTTTCGGTTTGTTCTCAGATTTTAAAAAATAAGGAAACATTAAAAGGAGTCAAAAGACAGACAACAAAAAAAAAGATTTGATTGATTGATTGATCCATGGTAGATTGATTGTTTAGAGAATCTGCCTGCACAAGAAGAAAGAGAATCTGCCTGCACAGAGGATGAGGGAGAAAGGACAAGAACCGTACAGGCAGCCACGAACTGTATCGTCAGAGTTGCACCGAATGAACAGGAGGCTGAACCGTACATATGCATGAATCTCATGAGCAGAGAGACAGAGGGACTCCGTGCACATGGGACAGAGAGTCTCCATGCACGTAGGAAGTGGAGACAGACATTCCGTCTGGAAAAAAGATGTGGTGAGAGAGAGAGAGAGAGAGAGAGAGAGAGAGAGAGAGAGAGAGAGAAACAGGCCTCGGCGACTGTGTCAGGGCCTGAGTTTGAAAAGGCGTCCGTAACTCAGGCCAGCAGTGGTGTCAGGGCCGAGGTTTCATTAAGGCGGTGGTGGTTTTTTTTTTTTTTTTTTTTTTTCGCTAGGTCGCGCCACGCCGCAGCTGCAAGGAGTCCCACTGGGTTGCACCACGCCGCAGCTGCAAGGAGTCCCACTGGGTTGCACCACGCCGCGCTGAGAAAAAACAGAAAAAAAAAGGTGTATCGGCCCCATGGTCGGGCCACGGCCGAGATGTCTCGGCCACACCCCAGATTGGCCACGGCTGAGATGTCTTGGCCACACCCCAGATCGGCCACACCCCAGATTGGCCATGGCCCAGATGTATAGGCCAAACCCCGGCGGTGGCCCGACCATGTTTTTTTTTTTTTTTTTTTTTGTTGTTGTTTTTGTTTTTGTTTTTTTTTTCCAGGGGGGGGAAGTACGTTAATGTCACATGGGAGTTCGTAATGGGCAGAAAAATCAAGGCGGAGGTTTCATTAAGGCTGTTGTGTCTTTTTTTTTTCTTTTTTTTTCTTTTTTTTTCTTTTTTTTTCGGTCGGTCGCGCCAGGGTTGTCCCTGGCGAGTGACTGTGTGCTCTTATAGGTTGGCAACCCTATTTGTTCTGTTGCTACATCCTGTCT